GGCTGTATGAGAAGATGCAGAAGTCTTCATGTTGCTTAAAAGCCACGTGACTTTTCACCTTTCCACAGGTTCAATCAGTGGTAGCTGATTAAGCTGCATTTCCAGCTGCATCACAGTCCTGCAGCAGCAGGCTGTCAGGATGGATGACAGAATCCAGCCTTCTGGGACCACCTGCTCCCGATAGAAAGTCCCTTGTAGCGTGAAACAAAGAGGCAAAAGAGTTGTCTTCTGTACAATTGGTATCGATGTGTGGCAAACCCTAATATCTTTACTCTTATTTTAGATTGAGTTAAGCAGAGGATGGGTAGTCAGCTCCAGTCAGGGATATTCTTTGTCCCACTGGATATGATACTGCCTTCTTTAGAGAAGCTGTAGTTTAACATCGTCATGCTATTATATCATATTTAACAAAAAGCTAATTTGCTAACATAAGATGAAGCCATATTTACCTGCATTGGGTCTGGCTGAAATGGAGTTAATTTTCTCCATAGCTGCTCTCCTTCCTTCTCCTGTTCGTCTTTCAGCACATGCAGATAATTTTATATGAAAGACATTGTTTCCGAATCTCGCTTTTATTGCATGCTCACGTGTAGACTACTATTTTGTCTAGATCTCTTCCTGCATTAAAAGACTTACATAATCGTATTGAGAGAAAGCACTTAGAGATCTGTAATCCACTGGTCTTACTGAATGACATTTTACATAATGAAAATCTGTGAAGGGTAAATATGTTGACGAGGAGTTCCATTAGCACTTAAATATAAGGTATTTCTGGAAAATGTACATAAAAATAAACCTTATAAGAAAAGGATAAGAAAGCCCTTAACCAACAACTAGACTACAAACAACAAGCATGTGTTTAGTGTGAAAACTAATGACATCAGTCATTTAGTCCGTTTTTAAATAACTGCATTCATGTAAAAAATATTTTTCTATTTACATGAAGAATTTTTAAACTAATTTCATTTCATATTCATAATGCTGGAATTTGATGTTACCCTGATGGCAACATAAGGAGAATCACTTTAATTATGGTTCTGTATTACTTTTGTTAGTAAACTAAAATACAGTGTAGAGTTTTTATGGTGATAGACTGAAAGTCCTGGAATAAAACTGCAAATTGCTGCATTTAACAGTCTCAATTCGGATAGTCTGATAGAACTGTTGATCCTTGTTGCCATCAATACCACAGGACCAAGTTTCACACTCCTTAGGTTGTGTACATATTTTGCTAAAATAAACGAAAGCTTTGCTGACTGAAAGGAGGCAGAGTTTGGATCCTTATGGAGCGAGGATCTGATGCGTTAGTGTAGTCTAATTTGTTCTCTAGTTTTCGGTGGCCCAAGCCAATGGTTCTGTACTTCACTCAACAACATTGCACAAGCAGTACTGAAGGCAACATCATCCCCGTTATCCTAAATGTTTGGTAGCTGTTTACTCAGGCAGGGATTTCTTGACTTTTCAGACTGCTGATTCCTTTGCAGAATAAATTAAGATATATAATGATATTCAGCTTAGGAAGCTTGAGAAGGGTGCATTTATGTAAGCAAAACTGGAATTAGAGGGCTTAGCATTTTACTTTTATTCCTGTGGTTGAAATACCAACTTTTTGTTTAGAAGAGCTTACTGACAAGCTGTATTGATATTCCAGTTTTTATTTGGTTTTAATTACTCCTACAAGACAACCAGTAAGTTATAAGAATGTACTTTATTTTAAGTTAAATAAATAGTGACAGTAACAAGTTTGAATTATTCAAAGTGTAGAAAATACCACCCATGCACAGGCAAAACCCAGTATAATTCAAGTCAATAATAAGATTTTAGTATACAGCAAATTTAATGTGTGTATCCTATGAATAAATACAAAAGAACTGAAGCAGAACAACATTCAAGTGAAGCCATCTTCTTTGGTACTGAAAACACAATAACATTCTCATTCACTGATCTGAGAGTATTTGCATTTTCATCATGCTGTTTAAATATAGTGTATCTTGAAATTCGAATTCCCATTTTTCACTTACAAAACCAGAATTTCCAGTCTCCTTCCAGTTGCATTCCGGTGAGGAAAAACAATGAACTCTGCAAATCTACAGCATCTCTTTATTTCTTAATTTAAAAGAAGTATCAGAACTTCCAGGCAATGGTGGTGTCATCATGTTTTGATTTGCTGTGATGTTGTGCCTGATCTTTGTCACACTGAGTGTACACTTGTATCAAGTGTAGTAGATTAATGGCTAGAAGATTATCCTTTCAGGTGGTGCCAATACTCTGTTAGAATTCTGCTTAATCTTTTAATTTCAGGTAGCCTAAAGACAAGGAGATACAGAGTTTTAGGAATAAACTAATGATGAATTAATCTACAGCCAGATTTGAAAAGACATTATTTTTCCAAGGTTCAATCTTTTAAATACTAATTGTGTGCATATTCATAATGAGGCAAGACTTACATAATTATAGACTACTTACATGAATTCTTTGAGACCTGGATTGAAGAAAGTATACTCAAAAAAATGCAACAGACTGAAAATTTTCATTTTACAGACTCACTGAGGCTTGCTTTTGAAGATGAGATTACCTATTCCTAAAAATTCTTCTACACAACTAACGGTGGATGAACAGTATGCTCATTTCAGGATACCATGGTACAAGATAATTAATGCTCTAAGTGTTACCACTTGTCCACCAGAAACCAAACCTGCATTACTTGGGTTTTCAGAACATGTAGTTAAACGATCCAATTTCAAAAGGAACACAGAGTTTCAAGAAGCACGAAACATGAGTCCAACTTCTTATCCACCTTCCTGCTAACTAAGTAAAAAGAGAGTGCAAAGAGTGAAAATACCCACAAATCCTTAGTGTCTACTGGTAGCAATACAAATAGTACATTCTCCTGCAGCTTTTGCTGTGTTTTCCATAAATGTGTTTACTTGATATGATTGTGAAGGAGTTCTCATTTAAACCAACACATAGCAATTACACCTTGTCTAGACACACTGAATGTAGCACCAATATATACAGGCTTGACTATTTTAGAATGCTGCTGGGGATCTCCACTAACCTGGAATAACTATGTGCAAAACACATCCTATGGAATGAGTTAAATAAAACAGAAAGGAACGGGGAGTGGTCTTACAAAACTGTGAGTTCCCACAAGCATGGAGCCAGGCTGGGTCAATATGCAGAACTCACATTATCCTTCAATGTAATGATAGGCCTTTAACTCAGGCCTGCACTTAGGATTTTTCCTCACTTAAAAGTGACCAGATTCAAATCTGTCACATGCTTTTGCTCCCCAAATTCAGTTCTCTTCACTTTTAAAGAATAAACTGTTTGCTGCAGTTTTTCAAACTATGTTTAGGGCTTAATTCAAAATTATTAGCTGGTTTTGAGTGTCATCAGCATAATTTTATTAAACAAGCATGAAGACTATTGTCTAGTAACATCACAAAACATGTCAAGTTGTTACTTTTTGATAATGTGTCCATAATAATCAATGTGTAATAATAACAACAACTTATTAAACAAAACATTATTACAGGGTCTTTATGTTGGCCTGTAGAGTGCCTCATACACCTATGGCACTATAAAGTATGTACCAAACATTCTTGAATGGATAATGTGTGTTCACAGTAACAAAGACATTTCCATAAGTTATGTAATAAATACCATAATACATAGATCCTTTTACAAAACATCATAGAGCTTCTGTGCAAAGTTATTGTCTATCCTCCTAATTTTACATTTAAACGTCGATAATTTTATAGGGAAGCACTGAAAGGTTTTACACTGCTCTTGCGTTTTATCGCCCAGAATTGCAGTGTATCGAATTGGACCAGTCCTACGGGCTTCCTGTTTCCCAAGGGATTAATCAGACATGAACAAGATACAAAACCGAAAACACATTTTTTAGCTTCGTCAGGATTTCTGCAAAGAATTCAGCAGGTTGCAGAAATATGACTGCACATACACAGGTATCAAATCCTTGCCTGCTGATATGAGAGGGGATCTCTCTGGGTTATTAGAAAGGTCTGCTTTAACTCGATGTCAATTTTCTTTGCTAGAATCTATTTTCAAAAATTGCTGCTTCTGCTTGGGGTGGACTCATTGCTCCTATTTTCATAGTTAATTGTGAAGTGCAAACTATTTGCATCTACAGAAACAAAAATTTGAACCAGTGGTTAAGAATGAGCCTTTCTGCAGGGGAAGACAAAACCGTGGTAAATGTGGATGAGAGCTATGAGGCTCGCTAGTATTTTTCTGAATATGCAACTCCCCCTTTTTTCTCTCTGGATTTGGAAAACGATTAGTCATTAGCATGTGCTGCACCAGCCCATGCAACTGGGTTCTGTACAATCCAGTCTAAATCAACAAACAGTGTTTGGTACCAAACATTGGTTGTTGTGTTTTCTCTATCCTCCTGTTCACCTTCCCCCTCCCCAAATATTAACTTCTCAAAAAATATAGGTTGTTTACATTCTTTTGTCAGGGTTTTCATCCTTCCCCTTTTCCTCTGCTGAAATAATAATTTGTGTATTTGATGGAAAAAGCCCAAATGTATTCTCTTCACCTTGTCTGGCAAAACACCTGTGTTAGCCTCCAACTCTCAAATACTGTAAACAGTGACCAGCAGCAAACACGAGAGCCTATTCAAGAACAAAAAATGCAGGCTTCTGAGAATAGTGATCTATTAATAGCAGATAAATCCCTGTTATAGCCAGTAGTGATAATACCGTGATACTTCATAGTTAACCGTTACAAGTCCAGCAGATGAAGACATCCCATTCTGCAGGCTGATTTGCATCTCTTTTCTTCAGAAAGCAAGAAAAAACAAAAAGTGCAGTTTAGGATATCGAGAGGCAAAAGTTCTGCTTTGCTCTTTCAAGTGCTAGGTTTAAATTCTTAGCTCATCCAAGTGACCCGTTTTGAAATTAAGAGGTGAGGCATGAAACACTCCCAAGACAGACTGAAGAGGGCTTGCTCTTGTCCGAGCCTGCACCACCCTAAGAGAGTTTTACCACACACACTGCCAGGACAATAGCGATAATGAGTACAGCGGAGAAAATAATCCCAGCTAGAACCTTGCTGATATCGCAGAAGGATTTATTTTCCTCCACAGAGATCATGCCAATAGAAGAAGCGCCCACACTGATGGTAGATTTTAGTTCTGCCCCTGGGTCTTGCTTAGCCTCTACTGTCCACTGAGGGACATTGACCTTCATTTCCATCTCGTACATCATCTCTCCTACCTGGTTGATTTCGTTTTCCAGGTCTTTCAAATCCACCACGTCTATATTGTGCTCAGCCTCGTATTTCATGTTCTGGACACTCATGGCCCTGGCGGCCACGCCAGAGGTTCCCCCGCTCATGCCTGTCTGGATCAGGTGCTTTTTGGGGACATTGAGTGGGAACTCGTGGCCCAGCTCCAGGGCTCTTCTCATGTCGATCTCCAGGATCTCTAGGCACGTGGAGAAAATCACCCATAGCCTCTCGAACTCGGCTTTATCTTCCTTACTCACGGTTTTGTCCTTCAGGACCGTGGTGAGCTTGTTCCTGTTGGCCACCGCTAGCTCCTGGGCTTTCTGCCGCGTTTTCTTGAGCTCCTCCCGCAGGTTCTGCGAGTCCGAGGTGCCACCGATCGTCAGCACCATGTGCCGGTAGCAGGCGGTCACCTTGTTGAGCGCGTCCAGCAGCGCTTTGCACTCCTCCTTCACCATGA